ATTTTATTAGAAATCCTCTTAAATATTTTGAATGTAAAAATACTTAAAACTTTTCAGATTTTTTTTTTTTTAAATTTTTGGGGGCTAGCTTACAGTTTCAGAGGATCATCATGCAGAGAGTATGGCAGCATGCAGGGAGACTTGTTGCTGGAGGAGGTGAGAGTTCCTCATCTTGGTCCACAGGCAGCAGGAGGAGACTGTGCCACACTGGGCATAGCTTGAGCATAGGAGACCTCAGAGCCTGCCCCACTGTGACACACTTCCTCCAACAAGGCCACACCTCCTAATAGTGCCACTCCTTATGAGACAGGCATTCAAACACAAGTCTGGGGGGGGGGGCATACATTTTCAAACCACCGCAAGCATCATGTTTTAGAAACTCTGAACTTTATAAGCTTAGTTTTATAAGCTTTATTAAATTACTTTGAAGATGTGCTTAACTTTTCTCTGCTACAGCTTTCTTGTTTTTTATTTCTTATCCCTGGATTTAAGTTAGAGAGATGTAGACTTTCAAATTTAAATGGTTGTCCTTACTTCAGACGGTTTTGCTGGGGTTCTTTTGGTTGTTGTTTTGTTGTTATTCTTTGGTTTTGTTGTTGTTGTAGGAGACTGTATAGCAATTTTGGCAAAATTCTGGTCTTAAGCTTTTAAAATTTGACTAAACATTTGTTTCTGGACCTTCAGATTTATGTGTCAGTCACTGCATCAGTACCAGATTAGCTTGCTGTTTGCATTTTTAAATTCAGTTCGATGAAACCATTCATTCACTGATTCTAATACTATTACATTGGTAATTCCTTCAAGTGTTCTTCCTAGTCCATGAAGTTATTAGAATTCCAGCTGGTCACTTATGGAACTTGGAGGTCTCCTGTTTCAACTCCATAGACTAGGAACACAGGTGTACACTGCCATACCCAGTCTTTGTTTCTAATTGTATACCTAATATAAACTTAATTATGAGTTGTTTGCCTAAATTATATGAAGGCATTTAAAGGATATTAAATATAAAGAAGAAATTGTTTTTCCAGTTAAAGTAACATTTCTTTTTTAGATTATCATATAATCATGAGATTTTATTGACATAAAGAAATCTCAGGTGGTGATATTTGTTTTGGCCTTTTGATGTAAGGGAGGCCTTAAATAGCCCAAACTAGTCTAAAACTTTCTACATTCTTCAGCTCCTGGTTCTTCTATGTCTACCTCCAAAATGTTGGGATTACAAGCGTGTCTTTAGGATCCATGTGATTTTGACATTAAGAACATGATGGGATGTTTCAGAGACATTGTATTTACACAGTGATACATCAATTGGAAAAATATGGCATCTTTGTGTCTTATATTTCAAATGACATTTTGACCATCTTCTTTATTTTTGCATCGGAGTCTCACTGCATAGCCTAGGCTGACTGCAAATTCTGTACTGCTGAGATTATAGGTATGGAGTACCGGGGCTGGCTCTTTAGTGATTTGAGTTTACTGAATCAATATAGATACTATTAAATAACAGTAAAACTGTTTTCTTCACTCTCTTAGAGTTAATTAGATAGGTAGTGAATTTGATTCTGGTTGGAGATATGCTAAAAGATGTCTGTTAACAGAATGTAGGCATTAATTTTCGGACAGAAATTGCCAAAAAAAAAAAAAAACAGTCAATATACTGCTGGGTTGAAGCTACTACATATCATGATTTTGTTTGCCTTTTGCTTGCCAGGTTTTACACACGCTGGAAAGACTGGGAATCGTGGTATTCCCAGAGCTTTGGTTTACATTTTTCACTTAGGGAAGAACAATGGCAAGAAGACTGGGCATTTATACTCTCTCTAGCTAGTCAGGTAAGGTTGAATCAAGCTTTGTGGGTTTTGTTTTTGTTTGTTTCAAAGAGAGGGGTAATCAGCATACTGAGTTCCTCAGACTAATCAGACCATGCTAAAAGCAACTACCTTGCTAGCAGTCACCTTAGGTTCCAATAAACAGTAGTCAATACCTTTCAGTGTAGAACTCTGTTGCATAAGTAAGGCCAACAGCCGTCAAAAACAAGTTTTCATTCTTCTTAGTATCAGACAGGTTATGCCATTTTACCTCCATTAGCTCCAGTTGTTGGGTTCAAGTTCACACTGTAGGTAATTAAAAGATGGAACTGAACTGTCAGGCTTGGTGTTAGAAATTGACATTCTTTAGATTGCTCACTCATGACTGCATTCATGTGTTAAGAGAAAAAAAGGAAGCATAGTCTAGCTTACTTTGAACAGAAGACCATTTGTCTAACCAGGTTCTTTGAACCCTGATACAGGAAGTTCCTTTTGTTTGGGCCATTTGTGGTTAAATTGTGAAACAGAGTACCACATGGCCATGTGATTAGAGTAGCTAATGGTTGGTGGGTGGACTCCATCTGGTTAATACTGCCTTTTAGCTTTGTACACAGTAAAACTGTCTTCAGAACTTCATAGGTAGGACTTTCATAGTAAAATGTCACTTTATGAAGTATTTATTCCTTGCTATCTGAACCTGTTTCCTGAGATTGCTAGGATTGCCAAGATTGGATAGCAAGGGATATTTTAAAATCATTGTCTATATTTGTTCTGATCATGAGCTTAGATAATGAACACAATACTTATGGACACCAGAGATTTCTATTATAATACCACTGGACTTTGCCATTCAGCAAGTCAGTGTCTTTAATTAGACAAGGCTTTCTTCTTGGAAGTGGATTTAAAGAGTACACCTAAGATAGTACTATTTTTTACAGTTTTTGAGACTGGTAATAAATGCTTTTAAGAAAAATTGTCTTTTCTTTTTGTGTGTGTGTACAGCCTGGAGCAAGTTTGGAACAGACACACATTTTTGTACTTGCACATATTCTTAGACGACCAATTATAGTTTATGGAGTAAAATATTATAAGAGTTTCCGGGGAGAAACTTTAGGATATACTCGATTTCAAGGTAAGCCATAACTCAAGAACACCCTAGTAGTCTTGTTTACTATGATTATATAACTGTGGCTTCAAAGGAAAAAAAAAAATAAGGGAAGAAGGGTCAGGGCAGCTTCTGTATCTCAGGAACTAGAACAGCGGGTGTGGGGGTTGGGTGTTTGGATAGGCACTTGCTCCTCATGCTTTTTCTTTTTGTCCAGGAGTTTATCTGCCTTTGCTGTGGGAACAGAGTTTTTGTTGGAAAAGTCCAATTGCTCTGGGCTATACAAGGGGCCACTTCTCTGCTTTGGTTGCCATGGAGAATGATGGGTATGGCAACCGAGGTGCTGGTGCTAATCTGAACACTGATGATGATGTCACCATCACATTTTTGCCTCTGGTTGACAGTGAAAGGAAGCTCCTCCATGTGCACTTCCTTTCTGCTCAGGAGGTAAGTAGCATGTTGTCCTGTTACCTGAGGCAGTGGTCTTATATTAGGAACCAACCGTATGTGCCTTCCAGAAGTGATGACATCTGTAGTGCTAAGGCAGTCACTATGCTTGTGAATGATGATAGAAACTACTTTTTTCTGTAAGCACTAGAGTGTTTTGATTTGTGGCTTAAATAGAGAAGTATTAGTCTTGACAGATAGTTCTAAGACAGGGTTTCTCTGTGTAGCACTGGCTGTCCTGGAACTCACTCTGTAGACCAGGCTGACCTCGAACTCAGAAATCCGTCTGCCTCTGCCTCCCAAGTGCTGGGATTAAAGGCATGCACCACCACTGCCTGGCTAGTTCTAAGATTTTTTTGAGACGGTTTTTCCCTCCTGTGTAGATGAGGCTGGCCTTGAATCAGTGTAGACCAGCCAGAGAGGTAGTAAGGATATATAAAAGAAAACCCAGAAAGCCCATGTTCTAGAAAATTATTGGCTATTTATTATGTATTCTAGTAATTCCCACAAAACACTTACAAGCACAGTATCAAGGAAAAGAATTTATAGGCCATAACTTGTACAATTCAGCCCAAATGTAGTTTACCCAGTGAACTTACCTTGTCATGTCTGAAACTGATAACTTTCTTGTTTTTTCTGAGGGCATGTCAAATAAATTACCTTGTAGGGTGTTCTTAGACCCTTTTGTGAAGAAGGCTGTTTCCTCATTTAATTTCAACCACAAAAACCTTCTAGGTTTTAGTGATAAAACTGAAGAAAGGTTGAAGTTGGGGTAGAAATAGTTGTTTGCTTTTGCTTTTTCATTATCACAGGAGCTGCTGGTTATTCCTATCAAGTGTCTGACATACTGTGTTACTTTGCCTTTTCCTCATGTTCCTCTAAAAGCTAGGTAATGAGGAGCAGCAAGAGAAACTGCTCAGAGAGTGGCTGGACTGCTGTGTGACTGAAGGGGGAGTTCTAGTGGCCATGCAGAAAAGCTCTCGGCGGAGAAACCACCCCTTAGTCACACAAATGGTAGAAAAATGGCTTGACCGCTACAGACAGATCCGACCGTGTACATCCCTGTCTGATGGAGAGGAAGATGAGGATGATGAGGATGAATGACAACAAACACCTAAGGAGAGAAAAAGACCAAGGCATCAGGTCTGGGATGGGCCCAAAGTTAGTGTGGTATCCTAAGCAGAATATGGAGCATGGAGCAAGCCATACCCTGCCGGATCTGCTCCCAAGTTATCTTTCTGTTTCACACTCACCGGAGAGAATTGAGTGCATCTGCATGAGGAGATGGAGAACTTTGGTTGAACTACAGTTTGTAAAAAAGAAAAAAAAAAAAAAAGAAAAAAAGAAAAAAGAAAAAAAATAACCTAATTTTATTGACAGAACTTTTTTTCTTTCACATTGTAAATGTGTCTATGAATGTAACGCATGTGGTTGTTTAAGAAGTTGTGTACTAGGAAAAGTGCACCAGCATCTTCATGTTACGCAGACCATTTCCCAGCATGGGCACTCACAAAAAGCACATAGCAGACAAACCATTGAGATACTCTCATTAGCACCTGACATTCTGCTCCCATCGTACAAGACCCATTTCCCATTGTTTCAGAGATTTGGAAACTTTGTACAAATTATCCACGGCAAGATAAAAATAAACAAGCCTTTATTTTATTAATAATTTAGTTCCTGTTGTGCCCAATAAAATAAAAAAAAAAATCAAACCCTTAGGAACAAACTGCAAGAAAAACTAGCAAGTTTTTGGAGTGAACTTAACATAAACATTGTCTCTTGTATTTGAAGAGGGTTTTTAGTTTCTGTTTTCAAGTTTTCTGATTTGCCCTTTTCATTATTTAGATATTTATTGTTTGGAAGAGTGCCCTGTAAAGGGGTTCTTACTCGACTCGGGGCAGGTGCATTTGTGCACTTACACCCTGGATGGATCCATGGAAAGGGAGCAGGCTCACTCATCATTGGGTGGGTTATGTGACAGTCACTTGGACTCAACCTGTTCTGTTCCCAGGCGGCCATGCAGACAGTCTTCAGATTCTTCCTGTCTTTGTCACCTCTGCTCTAAGCAGATCCTGTATTAAGGGCATGCCTTTGCTTAGGCTGATTGGGAATACAGTTCAGTACAGAATAAAGATTTTTAAAATGCAGTAAGGTGGTCAATGCATTGTATGATCAGTTTCTGTGTAGTCTGAGTTTTTGCATGTTGGTTAGTTGTAGCCATTATTTAAAGTTAAAACCATACTTTTAGAAAAAAATTTATGGAGTGTGTTAATTGACCACTTCTGGCATATGTTAGTTCTGGGTAAACATTTCTGACCTCCTCAGGCACACAACACACAGTGTCCTGATAAGCACTTAGACTGATGTGGCAAGCAGTTGCAAAGTAGCAAATACATACACTTCCTCCCCTTTAAGGAAAAGGCTGTGAAACCTTTAAATCTTGTTTTTCTGATGAGATGGTATTGAAGTGTACACAACTTTTAAGTTTGCTGGAATACTAAAAAGAAAAAAATATCTATGAGCTGTTATGTCTTTAGTTCTCTCTTGTGAACACTCGGTAAAAAGGTGTTCCCAGGATAAAAGGCCATTCATTTATGCTGCATGCGAAAACCAGAAAGTTAATTTTCACAGTAGGTGACGTCATATAAATGAATTGTGGTAACAATACTGGTAAATGTTACTGTTCCAGTAGTTAAATGTTTTTCTATAAATTGACTATTTCGTTTTCATTTTGATCAGCAAATGATAACCAAGTCAATAGAAGGCTGTCATTCTAAGTACTTAGCATCCATAGCATCTAGAATAGCTGATCTCCATGTGTAGAATTGATTTTTCAGGAGGCAGAGATCTAGTTAAGCCACCTTCCTCCCAAATAAGCCACAAAGAGCCGAGGGGTAAAAACTGGTCTCTGGGTGCATCTGCATTGTATGCAAACCTTGTGGTACAGTCAGGCTCAGGACTGAGCCTTGTTCTGCGTATTGTAGTTTCTTGAGTGTCCTTTCCCGAGTTCCCTTTGTATTTATGTATTTATTTATTAATTTATTTATGACCAGTGACCCTGACCACATATAATTTGATAGGTACCTATTCTTCCCTGTGGGAAAGATTAAAGAAGGCTCCATTTCTTGAACTCTTGAGGAATGGGGCTTTTGTTAGTTTTTATAGCAGACTGCTGGCTGTGAAAAGGCCAACACTTGGGGAAATCAGTGCTATGTTAAGCTCTTGAACTAAACCAACAGCCATAATTATTGTCCCAAGAAAGTGTAATGCCGTCCTTTGTCAAAGATTATACATGGCTGGGTGGCAGGTGTAGGTATCTTTAGACGGACTGGACAGTAATACTTTTATAACTACATGGACTTTATGGTTCTTTTTCTAGGATGAAACCAGTACTTTGTTTTTATCCTGATGATGTTCTTTGGAGTCAGTTTATATATAACCATTTCTAAAGGACTGTTTGAGCAACCACGATCTAATTAAACAAAACCCAGGCACACCATGGATTCAGATCTGACTTTCTGTTTCTGACCGTTAGGTTTACTACACTAGACATAGCAAATGTTAAGTGAAACACTGCCGTGTAGATTGGGACCTCTTTTTCAGTCACTGACAAGATCTGTGAGCTCATTGTATAGGGCAGTTAAGGTGGAGCACCCTCCTAAAAAGAAGACGGCCAGGCAGGCTTACACTGTAAGACACTTCATTTTCTCTCGAACCTTGGAATTGTGAGTTTTAAAAGCATTGAATGCTACTTTAGAAGGTAAGTACAAGTGGAAGTCTTCAATCTGTGGTCACTTTGTAAATATTAGCTTAGGTTATTTCCCCTTCCCCTCTTCCCCCAAACAAAGAAAGTTCACATTTGGGCATATTAAAAATCAAAATTCTAAAAATTAACCAGTTTTGTTTCTGGAATTGACTTCATTCCAAAGCACTGCCTCATCTTCAGGATAGCCTGTCTAATTTGGACTTCCGTGAGATCAGACACTGTCACCACAAGAGTTGGAAACTGGCTGACTGACAGTGTGATGACATCTCAAGAGCTAGCTTTTACATAGGTGAGATGTACTTAAATGTCAGGACTTAAAAGAAATTTTAATTACTTTTTATTGAAAACTGCACTGAATGCTAAAATGTCCACCTTTACAATAAACAAATACAGTAACGATAACTCACACTAAACAAAACATCTGATAGCCATTATTTTTCTGTTTGGGACAGTTTAAAGTTTTTCTTGTGTCACAAAAACAGGAATGTACCTATACAAAGGCTCAAAATAGGCCATCTTTAAAAACAAAAAGGCAATGATTCACAAAAGACTATGAATAGAACATGTAACTAGCTGATACAAATCTAATAGGATTTGTTAAAATCAGTCACATCTAATAGCACATCTGAGTGTTCTTGTATAAAATATCACGTGAAGAAAAGAATTTATCAATGTCTAAAAAAGTGGGTTTGTTCATAGACAATCTGACAAGTTACCATAAAAAGTGTTTCCTGAGACATAAGGAAATGCAACATTATTCTTCTTGAACCCTTCTTGTCCAAGACTTTCCACTCAATAAAATAGCTGAGGATCTGAAACTGAGAAAATATATTTGAGTACAAACAGCTTGTGAAACTTAATACTTTTTTCTTTTGTTCTTTTCCTTTTTTTTTTTTTGTTTTGTTTTGTTTTGTTTTTGAATCAGAAGGTTTTACTGAACTCAGAACCGACTTTGCTGCTCAGATGTAAAACCTTCTGTATAGGAGCTTTTACTTCTTCAATCCTGTGCGCGGAGATGTCTACACAGGCAAACAGTGTCCTCCCCATCTTGTCTTAATTTTAATCTTCCTATCAGCAAAGGAGGCACCAGCCCTGGAGACCAAAGGGACTAGTCTTGATGGGGATTTCCTCTCAACTTTTTATTGATATTCGGAGCTCTTGATGCAACATTCTAGAGCAAGCTGTGCAGGACCTGCTGTGCCCAGGGGATTGATAAAGGAAAAGCTCTATTTATTCTTTGTGATTTGATGCACAGATGAAAAACTTAACACACAATAACAGAAGTTGGTCGTTAATAATCACGTCCTAGTCTTTCCACACCTCTGGAAGCAGATACCATCTTCAGTTTTCTAGCTTTTGTAGCTTTAACACTGCAGTATCAGTGATGTCCAGGATCAGTTTAAAAGACCATCAAATTCATCCATTTTCTACTGTCTCTTGGTCCCAAGTTTATCTGAATGATTACCTTCAGGCATTCTCTGCTATTGCTCGTTGGGGTGCTCTCGATTGTCCCCGTGTTTTGAGGGCTGGTTGGGGGAGGGAGCTTGGGAAGGGTGTGCCACTGTGGGGAGGTTGTGAGTCACAGGGATGCCTCCAGGGATGATCCCTTCCATAGCTGGAGGAAGCCCTCCTGGAGCCACACCTACAATGCCTGGTGGATACCTAAAAAACACACAGAAACAAGGTCTTTAAGTTCAGGCTAGATTTGCCAAGTAGTTGGCTTTTTCCCACTTCTCATCAGACAGTACACAAAAGTTTGTTATCCTTAACCCCAAAGCACACTACTGGTTAAGCTCAAGGTTGCCTTTGGAAAAATAACCAGTGAGGTAAGGTGACTTTGTGATCTCCCTGCTTATTTCACGAAGTACTTAAAGTCGCTGTTAAGCTTGTTTCCTTCCTAAATTTTCATGTTCAAATCTTAATCTTTAATATACTAGGAGATGGAAATTTGGGGTAAATGGGAGAATGGGGGCATTTTCAGGGTCCTCTACAGGATGTAGTCATGTCCTGGGACTTTTGCTTCCAGAACCGAGGAATGGACTTGTGGTTCATTAGCCTGAACTCACTAGGGAGACAGTGAATCCTCTAGGCTGGTTAGTCCTATGTACCCAGGAGAACATGACTGGTTGTTGGTTCTGTGCCTTTGTATGTGGAGACATTCATTAGGTACTATGTGTATGAGCTGCCTACAGAGCATCTGGTTCACGATGTGACTCAACATATTAACTCTCATTTAGTATGAGAGTTATCAAACCCTTTGTAACAACTGAGGTAGCAAGGATGGCATCTCACACTGTGGAAGCCAACCTGACCCCGGCACCTCTCAGCACCATTCATTTAAGAGTTTTCCAAGCTCTGATCCCTTGCAGCCCCATGGAATGTTCTAGAGGGCCAAAGAGATTTATGAGTTGAAGGAAGAGTGAGGCTTTTAGGGTGGATACTAATATGAGTGAACAGGAGTGTGATGATGTAATGTGCACAAGTATGTCTGAGGGCACAGGAGATAAGATTAGCCCTGGCCTGGTGCTCATCAGAACTCAAGGTGACCTACTATTCAAGGCAGGGGGTTCACGAGGGTTTCCATGAGTTTGAGGCTAACTTGGACTAGCTTGTGACTATGTCATAAAAAGAACCAAAGAATCTCAAACAAATAACTGAGTGGAATATAAGAGCCCTGTGATCCAGAAGCAAAAGCACAGCTTCTTCAGAGCTTTTACATGTAAAGTAAACCCAGTCTCATCCTTTCAACTTGTTCAAGCACTAGGACTAGAATAGATAATGTGATAATGTCCTGTCACACTTTTAGTTGTCATGGCAGCATTATAGTATGTACATCAGTAAAGGATGATTTGGCCTCACATGTTGCTAAGTATTCAGAGCCAAAGGATATCTCTTTAAAAGGTGGCTTCTTTCTCCTTTATAAGCAGTGGAATTAATTTCCCTAGAAGCCAGCAATGATGGAGGTCAATCATGACAAGCCCCACAAATGACACTACTGCTTCCATTTAAGTGTTTTTTCTGAACAGAAGAGGCAAACTAGAAAATGCTTATTATGTAAGAGGAGGCAGAGTCTGCAGTGGCCTCCCCTGGCGGTCGTTTTACCTGGGGTTACCACCTTAGACTCAAGGAGACTACTATGGAGCCCGTCTTGTCTGCATCTCCTATTCTGCACAGAATTTGCTGGGCTAGTCATGGGGCTATATACACATATAAAGGAAGTGCATTGATTTGAAGTCAGTTTGAATACATACTGTCTCAAAAATCAAACCAACCTGAACAGCTCCTCACCCTAACACCTTGGAAAAAGTGATTTACCCAGGAGATTTTAGGCATTGAAAATATAATACAAAAGACATCAAAATGGCTGATTTCTTTTAAGGGCCAAGGTTATATCAACTACCCAGGTCTAGGCTTTTCTTGCCTCCTTCCTTGCCTAACAAGATGCTGTCAGGCCCAGATAACTTCAGTTCTTCTCACCTGTATGTGGCACCATTGAGCTCGGGATGAATTGCTTGCTGATCAATAACTGACCAAGGAGCTGAAGTCACGAAGAATTCTTTGTTGACACAGTTTCGTAAGCTTTCTGGGATTCGACCTAGAGGAAGAGGGTTGTAATTAATTAATCATACTCATTATTTTTGAAGCATGTGATGCCTGGTAGTCCGAGGACACCTCTTCTATGTAGATTCCTATGACTGAACTTAGGTTGGGAAGCAGATTCCTTTAGCAGCTTGAGCCAAATGTTTATTTTTAAGGTCACAGAACTTTCCTATTACACATAGTGGCTTCAGCCTATGCCACTAAGAAAGTGGTCTTGCCTGTCTTCAGCTCCCCTCTCCCTGTTATTTATTGGAGTATAGGATTCCTCCTTGAAATCTAGTTCAGAATTCATATAAAACCAACCAAATACAAAAAGCAACATGTTGAGTGTTGGGGGCTCACCTGTGATTGCTCGGCGGATCTCAGTTGCAGCTGCTTCCCTCATCTCTAAGGATGCTTGTTCACTGTACCAGGCTGTGTGTGGTGTGCAGATGAGATTTGGAGCATCCTTCAATGGGCCCTGAGCGAAGCTGGATGGAAAGTATTCAGTAAAAAAAATAGGATAAGTTTGATACAATTACTACCCATATAGGAGGCCTTGAGGCCATGTGAGACAGTAGCTGTATGTAATAGCAGAGGGCAGGGAAGCCCTGTATCAGGTTTCATTAGGGTTGAGTACTGGGGAACAAGTGACCACGACTATAGGAACAGGTATGCCAAAGAGAAAAAAAGTGAGTCAAGAGATCCCTTCAGTCAGAATGAATGCTCCAAGGTCTACAGATCAGAAAGATACTACCATCTTGCTTTTTTTTTTTTTGCCTCTGCCCTCTCTAATGTCCTTTGAAGATCTTATCACAGTACTGCAGAGTCCTTAGAGCAAAACAGTAACTACTAAGCATCGTTTGCAGAATTTCCTACTCAGGAACTTGTGTTAGAAGGTTCTTCAAATTCCAAGTGTCAGATCAGATGTGGAATTAGCCCCCGCCACCCCCACCCCTCGGTCACAGTAGGAAGCTAGTAGCATACCCAGCCACACACATACCTGAAGGGCTCAGACTCATGCACATCCAGAGCAGCTCCTCGTATCCTGCCCTCTTTGAGAGCCTGAGCTAAGGCTTTCTCATCTACCAGGCCACCTCGGGCTGCATTCACAAGGAATGCCCCTTGCCTCATCTGCAGAAGGAAAGAGAAGCTGGCTATATCTCATGGTAGCAGCAGGAGGAATCTCTGGAACAGAAGCTTACAAGACAAAGTTGGGCAAGAAAGGAGCTCTGTGGATCCACTATAGGCAGTACTTTGTTGGGAGAGGTTGGGAAGTCTTGATCATGAAAGTAGGCCAGGAGTATTTTCCTTCTTGACAGGACCACAAGGAACAAAAGGTTGGAGCTGTGCTAGTCAAGTCACTTGCTTGTCTGCCTGAACAGATGGATGGCAGCCAGCTGGGTCCTAACCCCTATTGCTGATTTGTCCCAGGGACACTTACCTGCAGTCTGCTGGGCCCATGGCAGTTGCTGTTAAACTCTGCAGTGAAGCTAAAGTCTGAGCACATGTGCTTTCAAATTACCTGCTTGATAGTGAAGTCATTGATGAGGTGATGGTTGTGCTCATTCAGATTGCAGTGCAAGGAGACACAGTCGCTCTGATACAGCAAGTCCTGCAGGGTATAGACCCTTTGAACACCCAGAGACCGCTCTATCCCATCCTGTAAGTAGGGGTCATAAAATATGACGCTGAATCCAAAGGCCTTGGCTCGAACAGCAACTGCCTGCCCTGTGCGACCTGTGCAGAGAGAGGATGTCCAGGTAAGAAAGGCCTGCAGATCTTGTGTGCTGTCTCCTTTACCCCATAATGGACCAGAGATTATCATCTTTGCTAGGAAGTGCTACTAAGTTACCATGCCAAAGTAGAATGTGTCCCCTCAGGCTGTGATGATGTTTCTATCAGGCATGGGCTTTTTTAAAAAACAAAAGCAAACAAACAAAAACAACCTTATATGTCTGTGGGTCTATGCATGTAACATGCAGGTACCCAGAGGCCAAACAAAGGAGGGAAATCTATGCTGGCAAGTCTTATGTCAACTTGACACAAGCTAGAGTTATCTGAAGGGAGGTAATCTCAATTGAGAAAATGCCTCCCCAGAGCTGGCATTAGAGAGTTGTAAACTGCCCAGTATGGATGCTGGGAACCAAACTTGGACCCTCTGAGGGAACGGCACACACTCTTAGATGACCGAGCCACCTCCAGCCCCAAAGGATTCTTTAAATAATTATCTATCATGGACACTTTCAAACCAATACCCATTTAGAATATAATGGATGTCACATGTCCTTTCCTCAGCTCCAGACACCACCGTTATGCTTCCCTGTCCTCTTCTCTCATTTTTGTTTGTGTGGTAGGTTTAAGTGTCACTGCTGTTCCTTGTTGCTCTCAGTACATGAACATCAATGTTTCTACCCTGACCTCTGTTGGACTTGCCTCTCAGAGAGATAAGATGGTCAAAGCATCATTGTCCCTAAAGCTTGATAGATTCTGAAACGCAGTTTTAGCATGTAGTCTAGAATACTCCAAATCATAATAGATGTCAGATAGTGGGCCACAAAAGCCCCTCTGAACTCCACAATGGCCATCCATTGCTCAAACCCACAGTTCCCCCTTGACAACACTTCCTGTTTCACCAGCTTGAAAACAATGGTTTGACTAGATTTCAACTAAGCAGACTCCAAAGTACACCTTATCTAAAACCCTATTCAACAGAGGCACAGTGCTGCACACCTTTAACTCTAGCACTCTGGAAGCAGAGGCAGGCAGATCTCTGTGACTTTGAGGCCAGACTGGTCTACAGAGTGAGTTACAAGACAGTCAGAGGTAGCTACATAGTGAGGGACCCTGTCTCAAAAGACAACAGCAGAAACACACAACAACAACAAAACTACCCAACAACAAGCCCCACCCCCAAACAACAACAACAACAACAACAAGACAATTCAAATATGTGAGCAGGTCAGTGTTGATGGCTCAGTGGGTAAAGTCCCAGCTGCCAGGTCTGACAATGAACCTACATGGTAGAAGGGGAACCAACTCTGCTTGTTCTCTGACCTCCAAGTGCACTCCATGGCAGGTGTGCACCCACATACAGATCCACATGAAGTGTTTGTGACAATGAGGACAGTTAGAAAGGAAGATGCATATTTCCCAACAGCCAGCGGCTGACAGTTAATCTGGTTGGTAGCACCCCACCCCCCACCGTGAAGGACTAATAAGGTCACTATGACAGAGAGGGACAGCTGCAGTGTCGACATCATCTCCCTTGGAAGACATAGCTGACCAGGAGCTGGACTAGCCACACTGCAATGCGTGGCAAAGGAGCAAGCAGAATTGGACAGTGGAAGGTGGCAGGAAGTGTGGCAAAGATGGGGACTCAGTGACATCCTTGAAACATGGGATTGAGGACTCCACCATGTGGTCCATGCCTTAGAGGATGATTTTTTTTTCTCCTAACTGGGTACTCAGCCTCCTGCACCTTGGCCTGAGGCCTTTGTACAGCAGGAGCCCAGATTACCAATACAGATCTCAATACCCCATATTGACAGTGCCACTCTCAGTGAAGGTGTACCTCATCGACTCACACACAGGCTTTCACTGCTCTCTACTCTGACTCAGAGAGCTTCTGTCTAAAATCACAGTCAAAAAATCACAGTCACTATCAAAAATCACAGTCCCGGTAGGCAAAAATCTAAGGGCACAGGCCATGTTAAGACAAAACCCTTTTATTTGGCAGTACACACACAGATAAGTGTAGACCCTGGGTAAAGGTTGACACGATGAGAAAGAAGTGTTCTAGTTTTTAATAAAGCACATTTTTAAATAAAATGCCATAATGGTATCTAAAACCTTGTGTGCCAAATTAAAAAAAAAAAAAAAATCAAGCCGGACAGTGGTGGCGCACGCCTTTAATCCCAGCACTTGGGAGGCAGAGGCAGGCGGATTTCTGAGTTTGAGGCCAGCCTGGTCTACAGAGTGAGTTCCAGGACAATCATGGCTACACAGAGAAACCCTGTCTCCAAAAACCAAAAAAAAAATATAAATAAGTAAATAAATAAATAATCAAATCCTGATAGGCAAGTACCTAGACAATTTTTATAAATATGGCAGGCAGCCTGAAAGACCTCTGCTCAGTTCTGTGGCAGGTTCACAATGAGGCTCTCCTGTTGCTTTTCAGCAGAGTTAAGAGGATGCTCTTGGTCCCCACCAGGCTTGCTGCCGCTCTAATGGGGAACCAGCAAATAGCCTTCCTATCTGTCCACTACAGCTCTGGGGGTCATGGAGAGTCAGAGCTGTGCAGAGAGCCAGGGAGACTGTAGGCAGCCATGAATATTAGAGGAGCTAGCAAGGGAGCTTAGGAAAGCTGACAGACAGCTCTCATGTGCCAAGGATATCTGAAGGTCCTAGAATGCAGACAGTTTCCCACCAGTTGGCTGGCTGCTCAGATCTGCCCACAGGCTCTAGAGCCTCACCAGAGACCATCCTAAGCCACAAGCAGGGCTTCCAAATCTGGATGAGCACTTTAGAGTCACAGGAAGCACCTGAGGGTGCTGCAGTGTTCACCCATGGTACCTGCATTTCTCAAGTCCCATGAAACCTCACAGAGCCTTCCCCAGCATCTCATCACTTGAACTCAAACCCTGACTGCTCCAGAGGCCAGGGAGTCACGCCCTGGAGAAAAATTAGTGACCCTGGAGTCATCCAGCAAATTGTCCCTATTTTCAAGCTGCCTCTCAGAAGCCATGACCCTCTGCTATCTCTGAGCTAAAGGTGATGCAAATTGAAAATGTTTTCTGGAAACCAGAATTGGATGATCCCATGTGGTCCTCATGCCGCCCTTGAGTCTCAAGAGGTAGCAAGCATGTATCCCTTGCTGCCACCTCTAGTTACAGGCCCAGAAACGGAGGCAGTGAAGCCAAATAATTCCCTGCTTGTTACAGAGTAGGTGAGTGGTGGCGACCAGCTGGGGGCCTATTCCAGCTCACATGTGGACAACAGCAACAGCACTGGTCTGCTTCCCATCATTGCTCAAACTTTCCTTGCTCCCTGCCCCCCTACCCTCAAAACCTCACTTGCTGATAATGCCAGGGCCTCTGCTCAACTATCTCCATGGCAACAACCAGGTCCAGAAAGATCACGCCTTGTCCCATTCTCACAAGAGATTTTCAAGACCATGGCCTGGCATTACCCTCAGGCTTGAATCTTTAAGTGGCTTCATGTTACTGCTGCCAGGTACCATCTGCATTCAGCAGCCTTCTGGAGGGCCCAGGTTGCTTATTCAAGCACACAGCCAACCCATTACCCTGTGCCCCGGGGAGATTTACCAAGTATACCCCTTTCCAGTGAGTGACAGCAGAGGGTGCACTCCTGCTGTGTCCCTGACCAGCAACATAGAAACATTCTTATAGAACAGGCTCAGATCTTATCTCTGAGCAAGCTGACTCTTTACACCTCCCCATACACCAAACCCATCTCAAGGGACACGTACCAAAGCCAATGAGGCCCAATGTTTCTCCTCGGATCCGAGCAGCTCCTGAGGCGACCTCTCGGATCTGTTCTACACTCTGAACCCGTGTGCCTTCTCGTAGGGCCTGGTACAGCCATGTGTTCCGCCGATACAGATTGAGGATGTGGCACACTGTCGAATCTGCTGTTTCCTCCACTGCAGCAGATGGGATGTTACACACAGCGATCCCTGAAAGGGCAATGGCCAAGCACAGAGGTGAGTGAAGACCCAGGATCCCCAGCACCCTGCTTAGACATGGAAGAGAGCCACTCCAGTGTTGAGGGTTGGTCAAGTGGTCAGCAGACTCTGTTTCTGAAGCTCAGCCACCCTCACCACTGTATCCAAATCCTACAAGGCCTTTAGTCTTAGCTCACTGCCAGACTAACTCCCCCTTTTCCATCCCTGATATGAGGCCCAAAGGAGCTCCGGAGCAGGCAAAAGCCAGTGGGTTCTTTGGCCTCAGTTCTGCTCTAGCAGGACTCAAAGAGTGGAGGGCCAGAATCCCAGACTTTTCCAGAGCTTTAACGGTCACAGAGACTGCTTGAATCTTATGCACTCTAATGCAAACGCCAGATGACCGACCGACCACTCACTAACTGCTGTTTGCAAACATAGCTCAAGCCAAGCATGGGCAATAACCCCAACTTTGAAGGCCAGAGGCAGGAGGATCTTGATTTTAAAGCTACCCACATTCCTAAAGCTCATGGTCTGTCTGATTCTGGTAGAAAATAGGAGGCCACTGGGGAAACTGCTTAGGCCTGAGGGCACCTGAGGTGGATCTCCCACTCCTCGGAGAAGTACCCTAAGTCCCCAAGAGGTGTCTGGACACTGTCTTCCCTTCTTGGGCAGACGGTAGTTTGAGGAAATGGGTAGCTTTCCCTACCACTCTTCAAGGCGAGGTCTAGATGTCTTTTGGGTAGGCCTAGCAAATAGGAGAAAGCGGAGGCTCTGATGAGAATGTGGAGCCCTAAGCATGCTCACATGTGACCTGGACCTACCAGACAAGTAGCGTTCTAAGCAGTGGTACAGGCATGTAACTATCCTGCTGCTCAGGACAAATGGCTCCCTACTGACCTACAGATGGCATCTGTGCAGCAAGGTGCAGCTATCTTCAAGTTTGCCTTAGGTTCTGTTAGTTTTAAGACTGGGGACTAGAACTGAAATCACAGACAGGAAGGAGACAGACAGTTCCCTAACGTTCTTCGGCAGCTGTGGCATGTCTCATCCTGCTACCATGGCTGCCCTGGGTCCAGGGCTCGATGAGTGACTCCCACAGAAGAACAGACAGCTCAAAGTGGAGCAAGGCACCACGAGCAGGTCATCCTGGCTGCAGAGGACATCTCTGGACTACAGGCATTTGCTAAGGGAGCTTGCTGATGGGCCCTGTTGTTCTAATGAGGTGAGGGGCAGTAATCCTGAGTAGCAGAGGGGTCTCGTGTATGTGGACTAACTGAGCACAGATCTCAGGCATGGTCAGGCACTGCTGTTATTAGACTAGAAGGGCAGAAGCACACGCAAGAAACCTTGGGCACTAAGGGCAATCGTCAGTCAGATTGTGCTGTGAGCCCAGCCGTGGCTTGGCGCTATCCTCAGCTGATCAATGACAACCAGTGCTGCAGGTCCCCCTGTGATAAAGGCATGGTGAGACTAGGACATACAGAGGGAGAGCAGGGAAGATGTCTGCTCAACCCAACCCACAAGGCGCTTGTGTAGCTTCTTGGCTCCAGTACCCATGTGGAGAGGTGGGACCTACGCCTGGAAGCAAGTATAGTTATAAACGGAACCATCTTGACAGAAATTGTTAGTTGATCATTGGATGTGGGTGTTCTCTAGGCCCGTCAGAGAGTTTCGTGAACATGCTTTTCCTCGGGGTAACCTTCAAGTGTCGAATGGTTCCAATGTCCACAGTGAAAGGCCACTGTTACATGCGGCTACATAGGAGCCACCATTAAATGGCTCCAAATAGCTAGACAGCTTTTTGAGGATTGACCAAGGGTGTTTCTCTACCTGTGTTATGCAGGCTCTCTGCAGGGCTAGGGTCAGGAGTGGATTTCTGAGCCTGTCTTGCCCTTAAGTGCCGCCTCTGGTGCACAGATGGTGGGCTGCACGTACAGTTACAGAAGGCTACACACAGGCGCAGGTGAATTACTTGCTGGGTTCACTGTAAAGTACACTGCTTCTGGAACCCCCTTCCAGAACTGGGCATACCTGCCACTCCCTGCCTTACTAATCCAAAGGGTCCGCTGGCTGACTAATACATGCAGAGATAAAGGACACTACTGGAGGGAAGTTAGTTCATTTGGTGTCTCTAGCTATCCCCCACCTCCTGAGTAGATGTCTTCTGAGCAGCTACTGCCCAGTCACTGTGGACCAGCACAGTGATGGCATTAACGTTCACATTCCGTCCCTGTCTGTAACTGGACTCTTTCCAGCTGGAGAAGAGGGGCTGACCACAGGCAGGACCTACCCGTGTGAGAGGAGGGTGATGGGCTAGAGAGCCATGTCTCCCGCCACTGTCCCAACTCAGCTCTATTCCTGACAAGATGCCTGTTTTTAAACATAAGCATACTTGCTTATGCCACAGAAATGACACCTTCTTCTGTTTTGGGAGACAAGGTCTCACTATGTAGCTAAGGCTAGCTTTGAACTTGTTATGCAGACCAGGCTGGTCTCAAACTCAAATCTGCCAGCCTCTGCCTCCCTCATTAAAGGTGTGTGCCACCGAACAGGGAGTCGCCGTTGTTAAACTCATGTTTGTGGCCTCACATCACATCAAAGAGGAACTCAGAGAAGCTATAACTGGAAATGAACGTGGCTGGCTGGGCTGCGACAGAGGAAGACACCATTCCCCAGCCAGGACTTGGGTAGAAAGTCTGGAACTGAGTACAGCTGTTCCTCCTTTACCTGAGATGTCTCCCGTCTTCCCCTGTGAGGCTGTGCCATGAATGTACTGTGGACACAGGCTGGTGCTGCCAAGGTAAAGCTTTCTTTGCCCTGTTCTTACCTTAGGGTTCAGGTACATAAAAACAACTTCCCTAAATGCAAAGAGACCGGAAACAAAAACAAGGCCCCAACCGCTCTCAAAGCTGCGGGCTCAGACTGTGCCCGGAAGTTGGATTGAGGCTGCCTTAGCCACCAGCATGGCAGGCATATCCCTGTGCTATAGACAGACCAGTCAGGTCTAGATTCAGGCCTGGTGGAGAGATGACTGTGTGAGGTATTACAGACACCTGGCTTTCCTGTACTAGGAGTGACAGGAGACTTTGGGGTGAGGCAGGAGCAGGTGGCAGGCCCAGGCGCATGCTATGGATGGCCAGGCTGCTGTGGCTGCCATCGAGGCTTGGATTTCCAGTCATTCTGAGGCATCTCTTATGAGCCTCATGAATAAGGGGTGGCACACTTCAGGCACAGACCAAATACTGGGAATCTGAGGCCACTCCAAATGTGGCCCTAAGCCCAGGCTCAGTGTCTTGGGCCTGTGCTGACAGTTACACCAAGCCTCATGGAGGTGAACAGTGAGTCCTCTGTGCCATTCAGGTACCACTCCTTCCTGTTTGGCTTTCTGCCTGTCATTCTGTCTCTGGGAAGCCCTCTGGACACTCTGGTGCCAGGCAATGGTGAGGCATGAAGCATGCCAGGTTTTGGTGAGTTGACTGGGCCTTTTGGGGAGGACCTTACAAGTCTACTGCTTACCTCGTCAAGACCTTTTCCAGTCCCTAAGACTTCTGGGTGTACTAAGGCAGGAGTGACGCTACAATTGCATAGGCAAGGGGGAATAAGGCTCCCTCAAGAATCAACCTCCAGGACAACAGCCCTGAATCCTGCCTTCTGCTCATTCTCCTGCCCATGGAGCATGGCTCCTGGGAATCCGGTAAAACTCTCTGACTCACCAAGCTCACCAGCAGCCTTGATGTCCACGTTGTCGTAGCCACTACCAATTCGAACAATCACTCTCAGGGCCTTGAACTTCTCCAGGTCTTCCCTGGTGAGGGTGATAGTGTGGTACATCATGGCACCCACAGCCTCATTCAACACCTGTCAGGGACATGAGTCACAGGTCAGAGCCCCCGGGGACCCATGGAGATTTTGTTACCAGGATTATAGGATGGAGACATGGCTGGATGGCGCCTTGATGGGCAAGTGCCTGAGGGTGGCAGAGTGGACTAAGGATATCAGGAATGTCGTCACACACGTGCACACCTGTGTATAACTGTTTTTACTGACATCCACTGGCCTGGAGGGACCCAGGTAAGGTGGGGTGTAACCCACCTTCTCATGGATTTCCTGAGTGGACTGTGCATCGCAGAAGGCCACGGTGGCCAGGTCCTTCAGGATAGGCATCTCCACAGTGCAGTCTCTGCCGTCCAGCAGTGCCACTAGGGGGCGGGGGTGCAGGGGGCCGTTCATGATTTGGGGGCGGATACCTGTAAGGGGAGAGGAAAGTAAGGTGGGTACATTGTAGGAAGGGGCTCGAGGGGACACCCTGACCACCTCAGTGGCCAATGCCAAGGTAAGCAGAGAGCACACAAGCCTGGTGGCGTCAGCTGTGATTTCCAAGGCAGGACGGGACACAGCCTTACCAGCTGATGAGGGTAGTGCTCCTAGATCGCAGGTTTAATGACCGTAGGTTACCTGCAGGGCTCTGGCACTAAGTCACTTCTCTCTAAGACTAGGGACAAACACACACACACACACACACACACACACACACACACACACACACACACAGATGATGGATAGGAGGACATTTCTGTAGCTCATTTGAATTATCCCATAAAGTAAACACTTGCCACCAAGCCTGATGACCTCCGTTTGACCCCCACAGTGTACAAGGAGAACTAAGTTATCTTATGATTTTCATGTGTGAATGAACACACAAACAAATATAACCCAGGTCCCAGTTAAAAGTAAAAAAAGAGGCAGCACGGAGCTAAGTATAGTCTGATACCTCCAAGTCAAACCCAAGACCCCAAGTCTCAGGCCACACAACAGGATCATTCATCTTCGTAGGGCACAAGCCTGCTGTCATGCCTCCCCATGTGTGCTGGTCTCCAAATAAACTAACAAGAAACAGGCCAGCATAAAGTCAAACAGAGAAAGCTTGCAGAGGTGCCTTTGTTCTGAAAGAACTTTCCAGAGAACTCCTAGGGCAAGCAGGCAGCCGTAGCCTAGCCCTCCTCACCCTGTGAAGTGAAGATAGACAGGGCCATTCTGGAAATGGGATAGAGATGTCTGTAGTCTGTACTCCCTACTGTACCCAGGTCCTCCAGGATGCAGCTCAGCCCAGACACCTTCCCCTTCAACTGTCTATACAGCAGACTGGGGATACCCACAGCACAGCGGCACCTGATCAACATCACTGCCCCTGGGATCACCTGCCCAGTGGGTTCCCAACTGGTGTTCTTCCCAGCCTCTCCTTGACTGGAGTCCTCACAGCCTCCTGCTCTGGATCCAGATTTGGGGACACTGTACCAGCCAGCTGTTTCCTTGTCAAGGAGATAAGTGTGATGGACTAAAATTGAAACAGGGCAGCCTTCAGATATCCAGATAATCCGAACAGCCACAACATGTACAGGGAGATCTGTGGCCAGGGCTGTTGCTTCTCTCCCCTCTTGCAGAGGCTCCAAGCTGGGCTGTCTCCTTCCTCCTAGTCTGGTTCATCCTCTCAGAGGCTGCCCAAGGTATGGGAGAACGTGGCTGTCCCTAGGTTAAGTGTTCCATGAGATCCTATATGGAGCACAGGCTGTTCTAGAAGCCACATGGCCTTTATGTGACAATTAAGGTACCCAAAAGCAGGAGCCTTTTGCAAAAGCAAGCTCACCTTCAGGCCTCTGCCTCTTTGCTAAGGGGCATTTTCTTGACTAACGATTGATGTGGAGGCCCCCGCTCACTGTGGGCTGTATCACCACTTGGGCTGGTGGTCTTGGATCCAGGCTTAACCAACCATGGGCGCAAGCCTGTAAGCAGCATTCATTCCCTCATGGCTTTTGCTTCAGTTCCTGCCCTGCTTTCGCTAGCAATGGATTGTGACCTGGCAGATATAAGCTGGAATAAACCCTCTCCTCCCCAAGTTGTTTTTGGTCCTGATGCCTCATCACAGCAACAGAAACACGAACACAACCCTCCTAACTGGACATTCGTGGATTCTCTTGAACCACACACTCCTCTGGTACTCTAACCACCAGCCACTGCAGGTGACATTCTCACATCATACCTCTACACTCTAAGGACAGACTGGGAGCCTAGAGCAGAGAGAATGTTTTTGTCTTGGTCTCAGAAGAACAAGCTGGGGTTGGAAGGGAATTGTGGACCACTGCAGACTGATTGGCAGTCAGATCCTGATGTCGAGGGATTCCCTCTGTGCACCCACTACCTACCTGAGAATCTCTGGCCCATAAGTAAAGTGCCCAAGCGGTCCCAAGTCTTCCAACATCCTTTCACCCCACGTCCCCATCCTCACTGGTCCATGGTTCTTACAACGGACAGGTTTGCCCTCAATGCTCCATCTATCCTTACTTAGTGGGTCAAGGTGAGATGCTGGAGATGGCTACTGTGCCCAGGTCACAGAGGGGCAAGTGAGGTGGCAGTGATCTCACACAGCTCTGCCTGTATTCATCCTGTATTCAGTCAGCCATGGAGCACCACCCGCTAAGCAGATGAGCACTCAAGCTGAGGTACAAGATCATGACATCGGCCCTGCCTTCTTTTTACTGAGGGCCAAACTCCAAGACATGGGTGGAGGGGTTGGCAGTAGCAGAACACACAGGTAAGAACCCCTACCTCACAGTCTGTAAGAAGCTTGGCTTTAAGAGGGGCTAACTGGTTGGGTCACTGCACCAAGTTTAGGCATAGATTTAGTAATAATTTACCCCACCTCGCCAAGGGAGACAGCACCAGGGACAAGCCGGGGATAGAGAGCCATCCAGTGCATATGGGGTGGCTAAGAACCACCAAGTAAGATGTCCATCTGCAATATCAGAGCATGTATCTGTTACCCGGGTAACAAATTCCAGGTTGCCTAGCGATCGTTTCCCTTCCTGACTTGGTCTTCTTTTGCTTTGGTGAATCCCATCCTTTGTTCTTTCCCTAGGCTAAGGTGGGTCCATGATACATCTTGTTAAGGCTTGAGGTATGAGTCTCAGGGGAGAATCCACTAATAGCGGGGCAAAATAAAGAAAGGGAGGGGGCAGAGACCTACTGGCTGGGAAAGGGTGCTAAGTAGGGGTGGCAGGGTAGGTGACAGGCACCACCCCACCTGGCAGGGTGTGAGGAGAACTGGGAACGTGTTCCCTGCATATTGGGGAACACAAAATCAGAGGCAGAGCCCCAAACACAGACAGCTACCAGCAGATTTCCCCTCTCTTTCAACAGTTCTGACAATCGGAACCATTTATAATATATTAGGTACATCTCACTGTAAACTACATTAACATGATACACACATAGCCCTCAGTGGTGGGGATCAGGCTGGCCACTGGCCTGGAGCCGTGACTCACTTCTTCAATAGCTAGGGGAATTTAAGGCACAGGGCTTAATGAGGATTCCTTCCGAAATAAGTTTAGGCTCCTAGTTACGAGACACTGCTCAAGGCTTTTCCATGTATCTAAACCCTAAGACTGACAAGGACCTGGCAATGCTGCCATTCTTCCCAGCCTTCCACATTGGGGAGACACCTGACCAGACAAGGTGTTCAGTGACTATCCAAAATGGTAATGTGTCCCTCCAGCTTCCCCAAAGACTCGCTCTGTCCAGCAACAATTAGGCTTGTTACAGGAACTTGGTCAGTGCCCTACTGCCAACGGCTTACTAGCATTTTATGTGGGGCAGAGAGCTCAGCCAGTCCCCCTGGAGTCAATTACTATCTGGCTTCAGGATTGCCTCTATGCAATATGGGCCTTGCTCATCTACATGGCACCATGGTACTGTAGCTTGCGGCCAGGCTGCTGCTGGTCCCTGGGTGTACTACTGCTTAGAGTTGAAGCTGTTCCCAGTAGTGTTAAGTTAGAGAAAGTCAAAGACAATACCAAGGCAAGATGTTCACATTTGTGCTGGCCACCTCAGTAAAGCCAGGTTCAAGGTTCCAGGCCTCGTAGAACCTAAGTGACTTCCAGAGAGATGCTAGCAGCTTTCTGGCCACCTAGTTTCCCTGCCACACCATAGACAGAAAAAAAAAAGCATTGTATTTCGGTATGACGCTGCATATTCAGAAACACACCATCTCACCCAACATATAGACAGAGCTACAAGCAGATGTGCCGTCAATTCCTTTAAGCTAATAGGATGTTATGGATACATTAGAGTCTAACCTACAGTTACATTAACATGACACACAGATGACCCTTGGTGCTATAAGGACAGGAAGTCCTGGAGCTAGCTCCTGGCTTGGGATCCCATGGCTGTCATGCTTCCCAAAGTATTAGCAGGAAGAGAATGTCTGTATTTCTGAGACCCACTTAGCATGTTTTTGAATAATATATGTGTAAAGTTGAAGAAGGAAAAGGATCCCTGTCTAAAATGTGGTCTGAATCGGTTTCTATTGCTTGCAGATTAAGAACCTAACGGCAGGGGATGGAGGGATGGGGCTCACCAGCTAAGAGCACATGTTCTTGCAGAGGATGTGGGCTCCCTTCCCTGCCCCCACATGGTGGCTGACAACCATCTGGAACTCCAGTTTTAGGAGCTGTGGCACCCTCTTGTGGCCTCTACTAGTACTGCCTGCACCTGATGCATGTTCATAGCCACATGCAGGCAAAAGCACCTATACATATAAAATAAATAAAAACCTAGCTGCCTTTGGAATTCAAGAACTGGAACTCTTTACTTTTCTGAATTATCTCCAGTGTGTGTTTATAAAATGTAAGCCTGCTCGCCCTGCTTCCCGTTACAGGTGCCATCTGTCACCTGTCACTCTCCTCTGTATACACTCTCACAATGATGCTATCTGCCATTAGGACAGAAGATAGCCATGTACTCTGGACATTCTGATGCCTTACACCGGCAGAGCTGGGATCTATAAGAGTCAGAGACCAGGGAGCTCACAGGTGGCACTCAGACAGCCTCCTGGAATTCTCTAGATGTTTTCCATCAGCTGCCTTGACTTTCTGGGTCCTGTTTCTAGATTAATCTGTTGTGCAGCAAAACCTAAGGGATGTACCCAGGAATGGCAAGATCAAGTCGAGGCAGTCAGACTGAAAGAAGGTAGTTCAAAAAGACTCCAATAGAGATTCCAAGATAAAAAACGTATTGCCATAGGACACGGAGTACCTAGCCAGAAGCCGAGTCTGTGAATGGTCTCATCACCTGCTCTGAGACCCATGGGATGACCTTAGGAGGCCATCGGGTCATACAGGTAGGCTCCCAGCCCCACCCACAGGAGCACGAAGGCAAAAGGTGGGAGGCATAGGAGCTCCTATAACCTGCAAGG